ACAGTCTTATACTACCCTTACATCATCTACAACCACTGTCCAACCTGAATCATTGACAGTAAGTGAAGCTCTTGCTAGTAATGAGTGGAAAAATGCTATGCAAGCTGAGTTTAATGCTTTAATGCAAAATGAAACCTGGAGTCTTGTTCCTAAGACTGCCAATATGAATGTAGTTGGTAACAAATGGGTTTTTAGGACAAAATTCAATGTTGATGGGTCTCTCTCCAAATATAAGGCTAGGCTAGTTGCTAAAGGCTTCCAACAAACACCTGGGTTGGATTACTTTGAAACTTTCAGCGCGGTTATTAAGCCTAGTACCGTTAGAATCATTCTTACAGTTGCTATTTCTTCCGGATGGGACATTCAATAGATAGATGTAAATAATTCCTTCCTTAATGGTCAATTAACTGAAACTGTTTATATGAGGCAGCCTGAAGGTTTTGAAGTTCCTCACCTTTCTTCATATGTGTGCAAACTAAACAAGGCTCTTTATGGTTTAAAACAAGCTCCAAGAGCATGGTTTGATAAACTCAAACAAGCCTTGCTGGACAAAGGCTTTAAGAATTCAGTTTCAGATTCCAGTTTATTCATCTTTAAGGATAATGCTCAAGTTCTTTATGTCCTCATTTATGTGGATGACATCCTAATTATTGGATCCAACAATTCTTCCATTTTACAACTGATTGAAACCTTAAATACTCAGTTTGCCTTCAAAACACTTGGTTCAGTGACCTATTTTCTTGGTCTAGAGGTAACTAGAACACATGAGGAAATTCTCTTGAAGCAGACCAAACACGTTACTGATTTGCTTAAAAAAACCAAGATGCAAGATGCCCATTCCTGCCCCACTCCCATGGCTGCTGGTACAAAACTTTCAGCCACAGATAGTGAGTTGTTTAAAGACCCCAGTTTGTGTAGAAGTACCATTAGTGCTCTTTAGTACTTAACCTTAACAAGGCCTGATATTAGTTTTACAGTCAACAAACTAAGTCAGTACCTTCAACCTCCTACTGAGCTACAATGGCAAGCTTGCAAGAGGGTTTTGAGATATCTTAAAGGAACATAGTCTCATGGTCTTTAGTTCAGACCAACAGTTTCTCTTCACCTTGAATGCTATGCAGATGCTGACTGGGGCAGTAACTTGGATGACAGGAGGTCCACCAGTGGATACTGTGTATATCTTAGGCCAAATCTGATTCAATGGAGCTCTCGGAAGCAAAGAGTGGTTGCCTTATCATCTACTAAAGCTGAATATAGAGCATTGGCACATACAGCAACTGAATTGGCATGGCTAGAAAGTCTATTTTCTGAGTTGGGAATACCCCTCAATTCTTGTCCAGTAATTTGGTGTGATAATGTCAGCACTGGTGCCTTAGCTTCTAATCCCGTTTTTCATGCTCGGACAAAGCATATATAGATTGATACTCATTACATCCGGGATCAAGTTTTAGCCAAAAAAATTGTTGTGCAATATGTTCCTTCAAAACTGCAGATAGCTGATGTGTTAACCAAAGCCCTCTCCATTACTCAATTTCAAGAGTTGAAATAGAAACTCTGTATTGTTGACACTCCACAGCCTATAAGTGTTAACTTAAATATAATAGTGCTTAATGCTGCGCTTGTGTATGAACTGAAATTTGGCAAACTGAAATTTGGCGAACTGAAGTGGCTATTGAAGTTTTTGTGCTAAGCTGAAATATGGTAATCTGAAATATGGTGAACTGAAGTGGTTGTTGAAGTGGTTGTGTTAAGTTGAAATGAGATTTTGTGTTGAGAAGTGATTGTTACAACTGTTCTGATGTTGAAGTGGTTGTGTTAAGTTGAAATGAGATTTTGTGTTGAGAAGTGATTGTTGCAACTGTTCTGATGTTGAAGTGGTTGTTGCAGTTTTGTGACTAAAGTTGCAGTATGTTGAAATGAAAAAAAAAAAAAAAAATCTGCACCAATAGTTTTGTGATTGAGGCTACAGTAGTTGTAGATGTAGTTCTGTGTTATTGGAGTTTTGTGACAAGTTGAAATGTGGTAATAGTAGTTGAAGTTGCTGTTTTCTGTTATTGAAATGCTCTGTAGTTGGAAAGGGTGTTTTGTAGTAGAAATTGGTAGTTGAAATGTGGTAATAGTAGTTGAAGTTGCTATTTTCTGTTATTGAAATGCTCTGTAGTTGGAAAGGGTGTTTTGCAGTAGAAATGGTAGTTAAATGGTAGTTGAAATGACTGCTAAAATAGCTGTGTTGAAGTTGCTGTGCTTTGCAGAAGTGCTACAGTATTGAAATGTGTTGAAGTTGCTATTTTTACTGAATGGTGAACTGAAGTGTTGAAGTTGCTGTTAAATGGTTCACTGAAGTGTTGAAGTTGCTGTTTTTATTGAAGTATTGAAATGGTTCACTGAAGTGTTAAACTGCTTTCTTTTTTTTTTTTTTTTTTTTTTTTAAATTGAAGTGTTGAAGTTGCTGTTAAATGGTCCACTGAAGTGTTGAAGTTGCTGTTTTACTGAATGGTGAACTGAAGTGTTGAAGTTGCTGATTAATGGTTCACTGAAGTGTTGAAGCTGTTTTTTTTTTTTTTTTTGCTAGTGTTGAAGCTATTGTTTTTGCTATTGAAATGGTTCACTTTTGAAATGCTTTATTAAAGTGTTGGAGCACTGCAGTTTACGATTTGTCCAATCTTTTTTAGGGAAAATGATATACAAAATGGAGTTCACAAAAGTGTAGCAAAAGGGATAGCAAGAGCAAAGGAGAGTCCAGTTTAAGGGGGAATGTTAACCAAAATGTGAAAAAGGACAAACTGTGGAGGTCCTTATTGTAATTTCCTAATGCTGTGATCATAGCTCTAAAATTGTGTCGTTTTAGTTAACACAGTGTCTTTTTTGTATAAAGATTCACACTGTATGTGCTACTGTTTTTCAATTAAGAAATCAGTTAGAGAAGAGTTCACGATTTCCAAAATTCTCTTCAGTCTCTATTTTTCGTCAGTTTCCACTTGTCACCTGATTGGTCCCTTCCATTTGAGTTGATGTGTGATGCTTCTAATTATGCATTAGGGGAAATTTTAGGACAGAGAGTAGGAAAATTGGATCATGTTAGTCATTTTGTGAGTTGTACTTTGAATGATGCACAGATTAACTACTTGACCACTTAAAAAGAATTCTTATCTATTGTGTTTGCTTTAGAAAAAATCTGCTCTTATTTGATTGGTTCTAAAGTGATTGTGTTTTCTGATCATGTTGCATTAAGGTATATATTGAGTTAAAAAGACGTTAAATCTAGGTTGATTAGATGGATTTTATTGTTGCAAGAGTTTGAGTTGATTATGGAAGACAAGAAAGGAAGTGTGAACGTAGTGGCTGGCCACTTGTCTAGATTGTGGAGACAAGAAGCCATGAAAAGCTTAATCAAGATGGGGAGTATCCCCTCATTGAGACCTTCCCTGATGAACAACGTTTTTCCATCCTTGGAAAAGAGCCTTGGTATGCTGACATTGTGAATTATCTTGCATCCAGTATAATTTAACCTGATTTGACCTTGCAAGAAAAGAAGAAATTCTTATTCACTATTAAGCATTACTTTTGGGGACGATCTTTATTTGTTTAAAAGATGTCCAGATCTAATAAGGAGATGTGTTCAGATTCAGAGTAGCAGAGCATTTTAAGACTAACCCATGAATCATTTTGTGGAGGACACTTTGGTGGCAAGAAGGTGGCGCTTAGGGTGCATTTGGTTGGGGGTTATTGGATTACTAAGGTAATGTCATCATATATTACCTGAGTACCATGTTTGGTTGTCAAGTAATATAAGATTCTGGTAATCTTCCAATATCAATATAGTTACTGTTGGTAATATTTGAGTTAATCTGATTACCTCCATTTTATTATGTATTGTGAGATTACTTGGTAATCTTATTTTTGTTTCAATTTCACCCCTTATTAATAAAATTTTCATAATTATACTAATAAGGGTAAAATTTTATTATTTTTGGCTAGATCTACGACCATATCAGAAACTCCTGGGACTCTTAACAACTTTCGGCGACTCCAGACAGTAAAAGGCAACGGGCGGCGATGGTTGCTGGCGGCAGGTAATGGCTTGGGGTGGGTGGGGGTGATTTCGTTACAATTTAAAATTTTATATAAACTGGGTGTTTTAGCTAAATCTAAAATGTCGGGGCTTAAAAGAAATTATTCAAAAATTAATAATAAAAATAATATTATATTAATATTTAAAAATGAGGACAATTTAATAATTTAAATAACATACTCACCAATTTATTCCTCTCAATCTAACATATTAATATAACATATCTACCAATTTATTCTAGCAGCCTAAATACATTTCCCTAAAGATTCCAAATAATCTTCAAGGTAATCTAACTTTCCATTAATAAAACATTCCCTTGACTAAATGCATCCTTAAGGTATTGCAATCTAGATTTTATTGCACATCTTTATTTAAAGATGCTTTTACCTTTTATATAGGATTGATTGATGCCAAAGGACAGGGAATATTAGCAAGAGAGATGAGATGCCACTCACAATATTTATGTTGGTTGAGTTGTTCGACGTATGGGGCATTGACTCTTTTGGTTATTCTTATGTACTTGTCACCATTGATTTTGTTTCAAAGTGGATTGAGACAATTGCCACGCAGACTAATGACAACAACGTTGTGCTCAGTTTTCTTAAAGACTTGATTTTTACCCATTACGGTACCCGAGAACTATTGTTAGTCATGGGGAGAGTCACTTTTGTAACAAACAAGTCTTTTGTAGCACTATTGAAGAAGTACACCATTAAACATAAGGTGGCAAATCCTTATCATCCTTAGACTTCAAGGCAAGTAGAAGTAAGAAGCAAATCAAGGCCATTTTGGAGAGAACAATTTGCATATCTAGGAAGGATTAGCTTTGAAATTGAATGATGCTTTAAGGGCTTATCGAACGACTTTCATAACTCCACTCAAGATGAGTCCCTATAGGTTAGTCTTTTGGAAAGCATGCCATTTACCAATGGAATTAGAGCATCAGGCTTATTGGGCAATCAGAAGATTGAACTTTGACATGGACAAGCCTGGAGAAGAAAGAAAATTGCAACTAAACAAGTTGGATGAGCTTAGGACTGAAGCATATGAGAATGTTAAGATCTACAAGGAAAGAACTAAGTTGGATCATGACAAAGTAATACGACGGAAAAAATTCCAATCAGTTATGAAAGTGTTGCTTTATGACTCACGATTGCGTCTTTTTCCAGGGAAGTTGAGATCAAAATGGATTAGGCCATTTGAAGTTCGTGAAGTGTTCCCTCATGAAGTAGTGGAGATAGAAAACCAATTCAAAGCTAATGGACACTACCTAAAGGCTTATCGGGAAAATTTTGCCTCATACGAGGAAATGGAGCAATTCAACGATTCTGAATGACGATTAAGCATTCCATCTACCTCAAGACAATAAACAAGCGCTTCTCAAAAGGCAATCCAAGTGTTCATTTTTGTTTTCATAATCTTTTTCATAAATCATTTGCTTCAATACCCATAAACACATCCTAAACACTTGATTGACATTGATTTGCATATTGTGGATCGATTGAGGGTTGATTGATTTGGGCATTTTGATTTTTGGGCAAAAATATCCAATTAAAGGTATTTGATTGCTATTCTGCATGGGTAAGCATCCTGGATCACTCACTTGTGATTTTATTTGGATATTTGATTTTGGAACGTTGAGTTGAGTTGAGTTGATTTATTTCTTTGGATATTGATTTGGTGCAAATAGTGATTGGATTTTGAGTTTATTGTGTATTGTCTGTGATTGGAGTTGTTGTTAGGTAGTTCCCGTGTAATTATGCAGTAAGTAAAGTTTGTTGAGAATTGTTGTGCTATTTTTGGGAGTATCGAATTCAAATTTTGAGCATGGCATCGCACAAGAAGGGTAGAAATGTGGGTAATTCTAGTCAAGGTCCCGGAGGTTCCCCACTGGGCACCCATGACCCCAAATTTATGAGTTCCACTATAAAGGAAAAGTATAAGGATGCTGCGATTGCTGGTAGATGCTTCGTAGATGAGAGGGGCTTCGGGGTTTCAGGCTCCCTATGATGGGGTTATAGACATTATTGTAGATCTTGGATGGAAGGCATTTACCACCCATCCAGAGGCATCTGTTGAGGCTCTTGTTACTGAATTCTACGCATTCCTAGAGATGAAGACGAGCACTCCAAATTCATTAGGAAACCCGACTTTTAACAGAGGGTCGAGGAGAACGGACCTTAAGCCAGAACAACAATAGAAAGCATTTTAATGTGACTTCACTCACTTTCACTTATAGGTTGTGAGAATATTTTGTGTGTGCTAGCATCTTTCCTACAGTACACCTCAGTATAGTTGACACTGAGAGAGCATTCATGTTGTATGCTATGGCCCATCGAAATGGATTAAAATTGGTCAGGTTATTTATTATCAGATATTGTATGCCACCAGACACATGGATGTCTTATATTTGTTTCCCAACTTGATTACTACCCTATGTGTATTTGCCAGAGTGGGTATTGGGGATGATGAAGTGAAAAGGCCACAAGCTCTAAAGTTGATCTTGAAGTATCTTCAGAAGATCATCAACAAGCCTAGGGAATATGCCACAATTACAACCATGTAGACAGAGAGCCCCACGTCGTTTAGTAGCACCCACACAGCCTACACCTGATCAGATGGATGCTATGAGAGCTTAGGTTGACAGGGTATCTGATGAGATCACCCAGATGAGAGATTGGTAGTTATGGGCTACTGGTCTGGTGAGTATCAGGCTTAGTGATGGCAGAGCATGTAGTAGCTCCTCCAACAGTTTTAGCTTGCTCAGACAAGAGTAGATCTAGGCTCATCTATGTTCCTATCTACCCAAGTGGCTATCAGCTAAGGGCACCTATTGGTGGTGGTGCAGTAGGTGATGGGGGTGATGTCAATGAGGGTGGAGATGATATGGATGATGATGATGATGATGGTGATGGTGGTAGACAACAGTGAGAGATTAAATGGATTTGACTAATGGATTTCCTTCTTTTCATTTTCTTTTTGTACTTTCGTTTCTAGTTTTATTTGTGTTTGTGTTTGTTTATTTGCATCAATTTTGGTTTTCAGTTGTACAAACTTCAATTATTTTATTGTTGATTTAATGTCTTTTCATTTTGTGTTTATTTTTATTTCCATAAACATTATGCCAATTAACTGATAACATTGATTTTATCCAAAGACACCATCCTTTTCTTTTGTGTTGGTGGATTTCATGTTGATTACAATATGTGCATTCAATGGAGTTACTTCCGGACTTTACGATCTGTTGCTCAAGGGGGGTAACTCATTTCTTTCCCTTTGCCTCTACATTGCTTTGTTGGCTACATTGGGGACAATATAGGATTTTGGTTAGGGGTGGGGAAGATATGAATATGAATTGTGTGTCTGTAAATTTTTTTCTAGTTTGTGGAAGTTTGTGTTTCTTGAATGATATTAGGTGTCCGTGTTGTAACTAATTGCAATGACATGTAGTGTCTAGAAGAGGCGATTTTTACACTTATTTGAGAATTATCCTGGATGTTGATTTTGCTTGAGTTCAGAACTGTTGGGCTTTTGGTTTGTTTGGTTCTAACATTTAGAGGTGTTTTTTGTGTAATCTTCCCACGTTTTTGTGAGATCCCTAAACTCTAGAACATTCGATGATCACTTGAGGCGAAATCCTAGACAACGTATGATTTAGAAATGACGTGTGTTGCTCTTCATTAGTGGAGAGTGATATGAAAAGTAGGCTTACGGAATTGTGTTTTTAATGTTTTCTATCCTAGGAGATCAAAATTTTGTTTCTTTTATGGGAATTGCATATAAAACCACCTTGAGGGCTAGGATTGATGGTTTGTGGATTGATTGTGATGTTGAGTTGAGAACAAAGGTGAAATTGATTTTTAGGGTGTTCTTGGATGTGGGTGATTATTGCTTATTCTTGTTGTTATATGTGTATGCAATGTATGAGACATATTTATTGATGTATCTAGGAAATTTGTGTTTTGTATATATGTGTGTTTAGATATAGGATGGTTTGTGGGTAGCATTGCTGAAAACCCTCATGAGATTGTAACTCGTCCACTGGGAACCTAGGGTTTTAAAGCTTATTGCATATGCTAAATGCAATCGTGTCAACCTACGAAAGCAGTTTAGTTAGGATGTAACGCCCCGCTTGAGGTACGTTGTTATTGTTTCCTCTTTCGCCCTTAATCGAGTTGGTTTTTTTTATTATTGTTTGATTGAAGTCATGTTGAATGTTGCCCTGAATTTTGGTTGAAAATAGAAGAATTTGGGTGAACCAAGCTCGCCGGGCGAAGAATCTTCGCCGCGGCGAAGATGGGTTGAACCAAGGTGAAACTCTCTGGACAGTTTAGCCGCGGCGACAAATGTTTCTTCGCCGCGGCGACGTGCCGAATTTCATGTTGGTTGAGTTTTAGACATTTTCTTCCCTAAGGACAATTTGACCTTTCTACCCCTAATTGCAGAAAAGTGGGGAGTTAATTGTAAGGATTTTTCATGGAGAATGTGTTCATAGAGGGTGATTTTGTAATGAATCAAAGTAATAGATGGATTCCCAAAGAAGAGTAAGGCCAAATGGGAATGATTGTGTTTATATTTCATTAAAGGAATTAGAATCAAAGAAACCCTCATTCTTCTTCTCCAAAAACACAACCCTTCATTCTTCTCCTCTCAACTTCTCTTTTCTTTTGATCAAGGATTTCCAAGGGATTTTGAATGATTTGGGGTATAGAAAGCAACCTAAGGCTTCCTAAGGTAAGGATTTCTCCTTAGTTGTGTGATTTGTAGATTTTAGCTCATTTTGATTTTGAGGGTTTTCATTCTTGGTTAAGAGTAGAGAGAATAGTCAAGAAACCAAGTGGAAAGAGATTTGGTGAAGTCTCTCCATAGCAAGTAAGTAAAACCCAACCCAAGTTGAGATTTATGAAATTCTTGATTAGGGTTTTAATAGTAATGATGTTGTAGTGAAATACATGTGATATCCATGATGGATGTATGAATAGAGATTTCTATGCTTTGTGAATGTTAATACCTTGTAAATAGGAAATGGGTTGTTGGATTGGCAAGGTAGTTGAGATGGATTTGAAGGGGTGTTATGAAACCCTTTTTGGAAGTGTTTTATTTGACAGGTTATTATGGCTTTGTGAAGGTGTTTTTCCCCATTTTGGATGATTAGGAAAAGTTTTAGATTCATGGCTATGATAGAGCTTATAGTGCACATGAGTTGTTTGATGAATGCCTATAGATGTTTGAGTGTGAGTATGAACCTTAATTCTTGCAACATTGCATGTTGGCATTTCACAGTGCATTAGTAGAGATAAATCATCCGTGTGCATTGTTATATGCATTGACAATGACCTAAAAGAGTGGGAACTTGTGTATAGAAATACCCTATAGTAGAGAGCTTATGGTAAAATTACTCTAAGGGTAGAAGCATTGAAAAATGCTACAATAAATGAGTTAGAGAGTAGTATAGTTGGGATGATGCTTTGTGATCATCACCCGACCGTTATGGAATCGGATTGATGCTTTGTGATCATCATCCGAATAGCCTTCGAGAGATGGGTCGATGCTTAGAGATCGTCACCCAATGAGTAATAGAAATGGGGATATGCTTTGTGACCACTACCCGATTAGTTAAGAGATATGTAGGTTGATGCTTGTGATCATCATCCAACGGCTAGTAGAGGCGGGTTATGCTTTGTGATCATCACCCGATAGTGACTAGAGACGGTAAATGCTTGTGATCATTACCCAAAATTCATGAGGAACGGGTAGGTGCTAGGTGATCTCCCCCGATAGTTAGGAGGAACCGAGTTGGTGCTTTGTGATCCTCACTCGGTAGTCACTAGGAAGGTTGGTACTGTGTGAATTCCATCCGATAGCCATGAGAGTGAGATGGTGCTGTTGTGAACGCCTCCGCCGTACCTCCGGTAAGATAGGCCATGATGTTATTAGAAACAGAAATAGAAACAGAATTAGAAAAGGAAAGATTAAGAGTCACACACGGGACAGACAGTTAGAGAGTTTTACTTACTGAGCATTATTTGTGCCACCCGTTTTTTTCCTTTGTGGATGCAGGTTCAGTTGATGATGCGGTTGGAGGGGCGTCGGCGCGCGAGGAGCAATAGCTACACTGTTCCCCTATTTGGTCTTAAAATGCACTTTTGTAAACAGTAACCCTTGTGTATAAAAGACATGTGATTGTAATGAAAAGAAACGTTTTGGGCCCAATTTTCCATTGTTAATTGCATGCATTGTACTAGTTTTCAGTAGTGTTTCATTTTGGTATCAGAGCAGATTTTGGGATTGAACAGTGACTATTCTCATCGCTACGACGTCCTCTAACCGCCCGTG